TACAGAAAAGGCAAAAAAATAATCACCAAATGTCTCTCTAAAAAACACTGAAAAAGTTCTCAGCTTAAGAGGCCCAACCCACTCACTTTGTAGGTCATCTGAAACAGGGGCTCTGCAGACAACTTCTAAGGTCCTGTGCCATACAGGAAATGAGGGAGGAGATAACTATTTATTAATTGGGCCAAAGCCTAGTTTTAGATGAGAATCCTGTTGTCATTAAGCATAGAAGGGCAGTTTAAAAAGTGGTACATGCTATTTTTCAGAGCTGTCTGCATTACATTTGCCCTGGCTGAACAAGCAATCATGTGACCAGTCACACACAGAGAGCCTACAGGACACAAAAATTACTTGTGCCCTTGCCCTTACATGCATAATAAAATCAAGCAGGGTTCCACCCTTAAAGATTAACAACATCAGGGCTTTAAAACAGGCCCAGAAACAGACTGGCAGCAGTGCAAATTACAAAGCACTGGCACAAGGCAGCTCTATTTGGGACAAGCTGAATTTTAAGGGACCAGGAGTCAGAGTTATGTTAGTCTGCTAAAGGAAAAACAACAAATAATCTTGTGACACCTTAAAGACTAACAGTTTTGTTGCTGATGATGAAGAACGGACTACAGCAGTGATGCCCGAATACCCAAACTGTAACACAAAATCAACTTATTTATTTCAAAGTGCCAATACTGCAATTAAAACCTGAATGCTGAGGTTTTAGTTTAGAAAAAACAACTGCTCCTGCACTGCAAGGGTTAAATGCTTGTTCCCTTCCCCCGCCATGGGCGGTATTAACAAATAAATACTTACTGGTGGGGGCAAATCTGCCTTCCAGTGGGAGGGAGTTCCAAAGGCTGGAGAGTCTTTGAAACAGCTGCATCTTTGATAGTGCAGGGATGGTATTAAAATATTCGTGTTTCAAACATTTAGGTTGTTTTCTTAACAGGCTCCTTATAATATCTTTTTCATGGCAAGGGCAAGAAAAAAATGTCCAAAAAGAAGCACAAAAAAGGGTCAAAGGCTTCATGTGTGACTGTGCCCATCCTTATTCATTTATTACTTTCATTCCCCCCCCCAGCTCAGGGCTTAAGAAAGTTCCTTTTGGTGCAAATGCTGGACGATAACTTTTTGGAGCACCAGCCTAGAATGCTGTCAGGAGGCCAATATGGGGAGATTTAACAATCAGAGGGACTGGTGACAGGGGATACATTAATAGGCAACAAATTTTAAAAAAACCAATGCAAAATGCAAGCTTTTGTGGATGAATCACATGTTCAGAGGGACTGTTGACACCACTTCAGGACTCAGCCAATCCTGAGGGTTCTGCTGCTGCTGCCTTGGGAACCCAACCCCGAGAGCGGCAACGGCTGCAGGGGACCCAGCCCTTCTGCCAAGGCAAGTTCTCTCACAAAAGCAGATGAACTTGCTAAGTGGGCTTACGAGTTAACAGCTTGAGGCTGGCGGAGATCTATGGCTTGTAGCTGGCTGATGTTGGCGATGGACCAAGGGGAAGTCAGTGGACATTGGCAGAGAGAAGCTGGTGAAATCTCCCTGCGGAAGCTGGCTGAGGCCACAAAGCGGAGGCTGGCAGAGGTTGGTGGATGAAGCCGGGGGACGTTAGCTTCCAGAAACCAGCTGGTGGAAGCTTGATGGATATCAGTGGATGGAAGCCTGGGCGTGTGTGTGAATGGCTGGTGGAGTGAAGGTGTGTGTGTGTCGGGGGTGGTGGTGGCTGGGGTGTGTGTGTGAATGGGCTGGCTGGCGTTCTGTGGGGATGTCGCCGGGGCGTGTGTGTGACCCAAGCATTCATGAGCTGGTGGAGGCCAGCTTCAGAAGCAGAGTGGAAGAGATGAATGGGTGGATATTCCTGGTGGAAACCAGTGAATGTTGTCAGGCAGAACTTTGGGATGAAGTTGCTAGAACATTGGTTGGTGGATACGCCTGGGCTGAAGCCAGTTGACGGCAATGGATGAGCTTGCCCCTTAGTTGTTTTCTCTCTCTCTCTCTCTCTCTCTCTCTCTCTCTCTCTCTCTCACTGATTGCTTATGCGAGGGACCAGAAGGCAGGCCGTTGTCTCCGCTGAGGATACCCATTTAGCCTCTTTTCCAAAACCAATAAAAGAATTTCCTGGAATGGTTTTGAAGTGTTGTCTTGTTAGTCTGGGGCTGTCACAGCGTTATCTTCCCCATCCCCTCATATCTGGGCCCCAAGGCCTGGGGTGGGTCTTTGTGATGTCACAAGCCTGCCCATCATGCACATGTGAGGGAGTGAGCTACGCATTGTAGGTTCCCTGTCTGAGCTCCTAAGCAAGTATATTACATGCCATGTTGGACAGACACAGGAAGCCAGTGAGCCCTGGTGCCATTCGGAGAGGTTTGGAGTTGGGTACCCAAACACTATGGCCACCCCGTAACAAGAAACGAGACTCACTCCTTCCCTTCCATTACTGCTCCTCACATTTCTTTGTCTGGCCTGGAGATTCAGGGGAGCCCAACCATTTCCTGGCACAGCAGCTCAGACCTGACATGCCTCATCTTCCTCATCAACACCATGAGCACCCCACGGACAGCTCCTTGCAAAGCACAAGTGGGGAGAAAAATATGCCTCTTTGAAGAAGCTTCCAGTCCAACCTCTCACACCAGTGCCACAACCGAGGAAATGGAGATGAGCGTATATTAAAATTCATGTGGATCTATGCCATGGATAGATGGCAAAAATACACTGGTACTGCAAAATCTGCTGCTTGAGGGCAGTGGCTGCCTCTGAGTGCCTAGTGCAGTGATGGTGAATCTTTTTTTGAGCCTGAGTGCCCAAACTGCAACACAAAATCAGCTTATTTATTTTAAAGTAACAATGCTGCAATTAAAACCTGAATGCTGAAGTTTTAGTTTAGAAAAAAACAATTGCTCCTGTACTGCAAGGGTTAAATGCTTGGGTTTCCCCCCCCCCCCTTCTATGGGCAGTATTAAGAAATAAATACTTACTGGTCCTCCAATCCCCCACTGGGCTAGACCACAAATGGTTGCTATTGCACCCCTCCGCTGGACCACTGCACTAGCAGAGGGGAGTGCCGAAATCCAGGATCGAAGGACGGGTAAGTATTTATGGTGACTTATGGCTTGTGTGCCCACAGAGAGGGCTCTGTGTGCCAACTGTGGCACGTGTGCTATATGTTCACCATCACTGGACTATAGCCTCCATCTGATAAATCTGATGTAAAGCTTTTAACTCTTGATCAGACACATTTGATGAGATGGTCAGCAGTCCACGAAAAGTTTAATATCACTAGTTAGTCTTTGTTATTCCTGAAATCAAGACATTTCAAAGGCACAGCCATAAGCTAGCGATAATAAAAAAAAACTGATACACACATATTTTTCAAATATGTTTTATGGAGCCCCCCTCCTCAGCTTTCCAGCAAGAAGCATATTTAATGGGTAAAGCCTTTGCCTATGTGGGAAATACAAGGAGTTGAAGGAAATATCATCTCTCCAACCTCATAGTTCTAGTTTTCAAAGTAGTAGCCATGGTAATTGTGCAAACATATACAAGAAGAAGAAGAAGAAGAAGAAGAAGAAGAAGAAGAAGAAGAAGAAGAAGAAGAAGAAGAAGAAGAAGAAGAAGAAGAAGATGATATTGTGGCACCTTAAAGACTTAACTGCTATATTTCAATGTGAGCTTTTGTGATGAAGTGAATTGTGTCCACAAAAGCACACATTAAAATACAGCAGTTTTAAGCTGTTACAATGTTTTCATTTTCTTTTTTCCTTTCTTTTCTTTTCTTGTTTTTGTTTCTTGTCTGTCATGATGTAGCTAATATACAGGAGTCCCCAAAGGAGAGTGGACACATGTACTCTTTATTATAAAAGACAATTCTCCATCTGAAGAGCTGTCAGAGAGGATAATGTTCATTTTTAAAGTATTCTATCTTTGAAAGACTATCCAAGTACAGTATTATTTAAGAACCATAAAGGTGGGATATCAGGGACCTTGATGCAAACACTCACAGTTTGCTGGACACTATGCTCAGCAGGGTCACAGGCCTCCCGCTCAATGCCTTCCACAGTAGAGTGAGAAGCTTTGGAATTCTGTATACGTTATAAAATTCACTTCAAATATTACATCAGTACATATACATTGAAGGTTTCTTAGATACAGTGGGTAAAAGTGTGGGACTAGAATTCAGGAGACTTCATGGGGTGGCACTGGTCAAACCATTCTGTTAAGAGTCACCATAAAAAACTGGCTTTAACAGTGCAGTGGTTTAGGTATCTGCCAGATGCTGGGAGTTTGAGTCCCCACTGTGCCTCTAGTGCAGTGGTTTAGGTGTCTGCCAGACACTGGGAGTTCGAGTCCCCACGGTGCCTCCTGCAAAGCACAACCAGCCTGTGTGGCCTTGGGCAAGGGGCAAACTCAGGATGGCCCCAGAAGAAGGGAAGGGCCAACAACGTCTCTGCATTCTCTATGTGGAAAACCTTGAAAAGGGTCGCCCTAGGTGGGAACTGACTTGACAGCACATGATTATTAAGCCAGATGCACATAAGGACACCACCACATATATATTGCCACATACAGCAGCAAGCAAATAAGTGGGTTTTCTTATGTGTGTATATATATATATAAATATGTGTGTGTGTGTGTGTGTTGCACGTCCCCCCCTTTCTGGTGTTGTTTAAGCGGCCACCCTGTTTAAGCAGGAGCCCGCCGCCACCCCCTCGTTTCCTGAGGTGTGAAGAGACCGTGGGCTGGGCATGAAGTTCCTGCCTGCCTCTGCGACCCATAAGCAGAGCGCTCGACGGCACAGCTCTTGGGACTGCGAAGGCCCCCACCCCACACCATCCACGGCTCCGGGCCCCCTCTCTCCACGACCCACAGAAACGGCGAGGCCGCGGTGCTTTCTAAGGGCCCGAGAAAAGAGGCCGAGTGGGCGCCCATGTGCCTGAGGCGGTGGCGGGCCAGGTGCCGGCTCCGGCGGCCCCTCCTCTCGCGGTTGGAGGGGAGCGACGCCTCTGTGGGCGGGGAAACGCCGTGCGGGGGCTGCTTCTTCGGCTGCCCGCCCGGCCGGTACCTTCTCGCTGTGCACGTCCCGGCTCCGAGCAGGCGGGCGGGCTGGCCAAGGAAGAGGAGGAGGAGGAGGTGGAGGCGGCGGCGCAGTAGGAGCGGCAGCGGCAGCGGCTCGCCCAGGAATGCGCTGAAGATGGCGGCCGGCCGGAGAGCGCCCAAAAGCGGCTTGTTGGAACTGCGAGCGGCGGGCGAGCAGTGGTTACGGGTCTTGGTGACTCTTTCGGACGACTTCTTGAGCGTCAGCCCCAGCGGCAAAGGCGCCGAGGAGCCGCTGCAGCCGCCGCCGCCCAGCCCGGTGCAGCTGAATGGCGGCGAGCCGGGCGCCCTCGTCCCGGACTCGCTCACCAACATCAAGCGGACGGTGCGGATCGTCAAGCAGGACGTGGGCGGCCTCGGCATCAGCATCAAAGGTAAGGATCGGGGAGGTGGCAAGAAGGATCGGGCCCAGGGGCTTGACTGTGCCTCCTCGGTTGCTCCTCTTGGGGAACTTTTCGGACACTTTTGCTTTTTCTTCTGTGCTCAGCCATCCCACCCCCACCCCATTCCCTGTTTCAACCTGCTGCTTTTTGGCACCAGGAAACGCCTGTGGCCAAACCTGCTGCTCTTCTTCGTTGGCAACACGACTTACTTTTGCGTGTAAGTTTTGGGAATGGCTCTTTTTGGACAGTTGAATCGCCTTACCTGGCAGCCGGGAAAATGACGTTTCACGAAGGCCAGTTAACTGGACTTTTAGAGAAACTTTCTAAGAAAGGAGGTGGGTTTTAGTTGTATTAGATTGATTAAGCGGTGAAAGTTTGTGGATGGTGCGGGGAGAAGATAAGCGTGTTAGGAAAGGCCCAGCTGGAGTCTAGACGACACGTGTTGGCATAGGGTATTAATTTTAGCCTCCGCCGGAGCTCCACAGCTGCTCCTGTAAAAGTAGCACTGTGGGGGAAGTTTGAAAGGAACAATTTGGAAGGCGTGCTGGCTGCCTTCTTCCTATGCGTCCATTCAAAGCACCTGAATAACTTCCTCAAGCATCGGGCGTTTTTTACATGCCCATCCCGAGGAAGAAAGCATTGTAACTCAAAAGTTTGCATACTTTATTGGGAATACTGTACTGGTTGACTGCAAGAAATGGCTCATAAGAAAGACACAGAAACGGTGAATTCTGTTCCACTGAACCGGTAGAGCTACCTGATCTAGGTTGATTTGTTTTTGTTTGAATTGTGTATTTAGTATCTGTATCCTCATTTTTCAATTTAGATTGTGTTTAGCAAAACGTGAATCTTTGATACAGATTTGCATTTCTAATACATTACTAGGTTCTGTGCAATATCTTATTAAAGGCCAATTCGGTTTTTGTGTGAAGCAGCACTAACAATGGAGTACATGGTTACTGAGAAGTAATTCCGTTTGCCTTCAGTAGAACTGAATTGGATCAGGCTCTAAATGGCCTGAAGGTGGGACAGCTTTCACCGGTTGCTGGATTGTGGTATACAGTAGTGGTTAATTTTGGAAGGACAGGTGCTTTTTGTGAAGTCGCCAAAGTCACCCCCATAAGAAGAACTGAAAAATGCAGGCGGTTGGATTGTCCATATCAACAAGTGACAGCTAGACTTTGTAAAGTTTTGTTGTTGTTGCTTGCCATCTGACTTATGGTGACCCCATGAATTGGTGATCTTCCAAAAAAAAAAAAAAATTAATGGCTCAATTGCACACTTGAGACGAAACCACCCTCACATACTTTGCATTATAGTATGGATAACTTGTAACAATAAACTTTTCCTGGAAAAATCCAGTTTGTCCCCCTTCTAATGTGAGGACTACTCTAAGCCCAGAGGAAAAGGAAACCTGACATGGGATGGCAGATGATGCCGTGGAATTCCAGGTGTGGAGTGTAGTTGCACTCATGGCCACTTCCCGGTAGAGTTCTCATAAGTACCTGGATGCGAATGCTAGACAAGCAAGGGTCTTCTTAGGTTCAGTCAGAATCTATGGTTCTATAGAAATAATTGTTCTGACTTTTTAAAACTCAGGAGATCACATAAAGTATGGACACACATTCTTATTTTACAGATTGGTTTCAGAAGCGTCCACATTTTCTGTACATTTTTTACTTCTTTGATAAAATGATCAAAGACATGCCAATTCTAGGAACCGATCTAATTTTTAATTATTCTGCTAGCCTTAGGCCTGGCTAGCATTCTTCATACACCTAGATATGCCACTTGCAGACAGGTAGCACCTATTGGTGAGTGACACGTGTCTCTCTGTGTGTCAGTGGGGATGGGGAGTAGATGCCCATAATCAAGACTTAGACTGCAGACTTTTCATCTGGAAGTAAGTCTTATCAGACTTAGTGGAAGTTCTGAATCAGTGCATATCAAAGTGTATTATTAAAAAGTACAGTGCTGGTTGCTGAAAAAAATACTTGTTATAAAGTATGCTTTTAAAATTGAAAATGCAGAAAAATCTGGGAATTGTCATTTGTATCACACTGCTTTGTTTCTTAGTTTTATATTCACTGGGAGTTGATTGATTAATCTTTGGTTGGGCTGGGCAAAGGTATAGTGCTTCCTGATTAGAGATGAGCGCTTTGTGCTTTGGAGAGTTTTGTATGAAGCATGTCACAGTTTCGTATGAAGCATGTGGTGCAGAGCTCCATCTCCCTCCCCCCCACCCCATGCTGGCTGGTCTACTTACCGGGCTCCACATTCTGTTAGGGTCTTTCTTTAGTAGCAGTGCTCCAATCCAGGCAGGAGCCCAGCCAGCCTTCCCCACCTCCCCAGGCAGCCAACCACTCTGGCAAGGAAGCGGGCCGGGGAGTCACCCTGCACAACCAAGGAGTGGTTGACGCCTGGGGAGGCAGGGAAAGGCTGGCTGGGCTCCTGCCTGGATTGGACTGATGCTTCCAAAGAAGGATCCCATCAGCATAAGGAGCCCAGTAAGTAGACCAACCAGCCTTAGGGGAGAGATTGAACTCTGCACCCCCAGTGGTGCCATGCTTCATATGAAGCACAAAGCACCCATCTGTATTCCCAATATAAGAGCATGGAAAATCAAACACGCTTTTACATGAACTTTTTGTCCAGACTGCATTTCTTCTGCATGTTAATGTTTTCTAGAAAGCAAGACGTTAAAAGATGAAGGCAATGAAGCGATTCTCATTAGAAATGCAAACATTAAGAATGCAAAAGGCAGTCTGTGATGACTCCATAGACGTGAAAGGCCAAATACACTATTATGAACAGACCTGACACTCTGTCTCTTCTGCAAGAAAGCCTGACAAAGACTCTATGAGTAATGAATGGTTCACAGTGGCATAGTCGTGAAAAATTAGGACCACTCAAATTGTGTTCCTTAAGCCATTATGATGCCGTGCTGTGTTTGACCTTCAGAATTAGAGAAAATAGCATACCTTGTGAGGAAAACAAATGGCTTTACCATTGTTTTTTTTCTTTTTTAATAGCAGTTATTGTAGAAGAGATTTAGCTGAATCACATATGTTGATAGTATATTCAGCCTTTAGGTGGGTGGGAAATGAATCAACATTATTCATAGCTGTGCATGTGGGCTCTAGTCTGCAAAAACTTTATGCTGTAATATATCTGTTAGCCGGTTCTGTCTTGTGTAGTCCATTGAGTGGCATTAAAATGATTTGAAGATCATGCAAGCAGACTATATGACTACATGAGATCGATTAATCTGCACTTTGTAGAAATGTGATCACTAAATGTGCAGACATATGCACTAAATGTGCATATACCTTCACAGCAGAGCTAAAAATAGGTCTAACTCATGCGGTGTTTTGGTAACTCAGGTTTCCTATACTTTTACAGATTAACCTGTTTTCATCTTTTGAGAAAACCTTGCTAACACAAAACAATTTTGTGTGTGTGCAGGTGGGAGATGTTTTGTTTTAAATGGTATCTAGCATGTATTACCATTGATCATGGCTTGTTCAATGCACTTTGCTTCTTGAATCAGAGCAGCAAATTGCTCCCTCATACCTAAGTCAAGGTACATAAAATTACCCAGGTTATTTTGTCATGTAATCTAGAAATCGCCACAAGCATCTCTTCCCTTGCCTAAAGATATACTGTAGATACCAATAAAATAATTAACAATTGGCTGCCACAAGCATCTCTTCCCTTGCCTAAGATATAGATACCAATAAAATAATTAACAATTGGCTGTTCATAACACAAATGACCTGCGGCTTGAAAGTCTACAAGTTGTGGTCCGAAAAAGTAACTTGCCAGGCTGTGAGGCCACCAGTCTCTAAAATGCTTGTCACTTTCTGATCCTCCATGACGTCTTACCAAAACTGTTAGCTAAATACTATTGAAAGCAGACCAGACCTTATCTCTAATTAGAAGACTTATTCTTGGGCTTTCACCTGAATTATGGCATATGTAATATCTTTCCAGGTGGTGAATGCATATCAGTACAGTGGGGTCTCTACTTAAGAACTTAATCCGTATTGGAAGGTGGTTCTCAAGTTGAAAAGTTCTTATGTTGAATCTGCATTTCCCATAGGAATGCATTGAAAACCATTTAATCCGTATCTGCTCTTTTCCGTCCATAGAAACTACAGTGGAACCTCTACTTAAGAACTTAATCGGTTTTGGAATGGGGTTCTTAAGTTGAAATGTTCTTAAGTTGAAGCAAAATTTCCCATAGGAATGGACTGAAAACCAATTAATCCGTTCTGGCTGTTTTTTTGTTATGTAGAGGTGCGTTCGTACATCAACCAGAGCTGGTTAATACGTACTCTACCACTATGGGGAGAATTTTTTTTTAACCTATGATGACCTAAGGTTAAAAAAAAGAGCAGGAAAGGTTTTTTTCCTGTTCTTATCTTGGATTTCTGTTCTCAAGTAGAAGCAAAATTTAGCAAATGGAGCTGTTCTTAAGTTGGATTGTTCTTAAGTAGGGACGTTCTTAAGTAGAGACCCCACTGTATTGTATGAAGCAAAGTATTCCAAGTTTATTGATAGTATCGAGGAACTATTGAAATGCACCTCATATATACAGTTTTTTTTTGTAACACTGCAAGGGGGTGGGAGTTTTGCAGGCATTTTCTCTCTGTGTGTATATTTTGAAATATTTGACCTTGGCACCTTCTGGATCTAACCCTGGGAGGATCCTTCTCTTTCAGACTTCACTTATGCAAACCTGGATATATGAAACTGTTGTATGACAGTCTGGAACTATCTAGAGAGGCCAGGGAGGAGAGACAAAAATAAATAAATAAATGAAATAGTATCAAGGGCTAACTGTTAGTTCCAGAATGTTGAATCTACAGAATGTATGTAAGTGTTGACTTAACAAATTTTATCATTTTACGGACTCTTCTCTATATGGGACTAACAGTTGGATTTGGGGCTGATTTTTTTTAAAAAATTACATAGTCATTTTAAAGGGATTTTATAATGTTTAAGCTGCAACAAGAATTCATCCTTTGCTTCACAAAACAGACCAAGAGAATGAGATTTGGTACATAGGCCACAGTCTGCCAACCCGTGTGAATAATAACTTTACAAAACTTGCAGTATACAGTGGCACAAATCATCTTGCCTAGTTGCTCTGGCATAATAGAAGCAGTGTAACTTCTGGAGATGAATTGCCTTAAGTTAAGAAATCACTGTAGCACAAATCCTCTTGCCTAGTTGCTCTGGCATAATACAAGCAGTGTAACTTTTGGAGATGAGTTAAGAAATCACTGTAGATATTATTTGTTGCATACTGAGTTGTGTGCAGTTGTGTGATAATGTCCTTGGCAATTTTTAAATGAGAGTTTGCCTCCAAAAGTTCCACCATCTGCATAGCAACTCAAGAGGATTTTGGCTAGCCTTTTTCTCTTGCCTAGTTGCTCTGGCATAATACAAGCAGTGTAACTTTTGGAGATGAGTTAAGAAATCACTGTAGATATTATTTGTTGCATACTGAGTTGTGTGCAGTTGTGTGATAATGTCCTTGGCAATTTTTAAATGAGAGTTTGCCTCCAAAAGTTCCACCATCTGCATAGCAACTCAAGAGGATTTTGGCTAGCCTTTTTTTTTAAAGCTACATAAGTGACCAGAGCACAAAATGGGAAACGAGGAAAGCTTGTGTGCTTCATGGCACGCACACTGTTTTCTTTTGTATAGTTTATAAACACAATATATGATAGCCTTCTTTTCGCATTGATTTCAAGGTGGCAGAGAAAATAAAATGCCCATCCTGATTTCCAAGATCTTCAAGGGCCTGGCTGCAGATCAGACAGAAGCACTGTTTGTTGGAGATGCCATCCTGGCTGTCAATGGGGCTGACCTTTCTGATGCCTCACATGACGAAGCTGTGCAGGCCCTGAAAAAGACAGGCAAGGAGGTGGTATTGGAAGGTAAGTAGGTTATATTGCAAAAGACCTTGGCATTCAGCATTGTGACTCTTTCACTTCCAAGGTCCTCCTGTTTTACACTGTAACTTCTTATGCTTGATATTGCTGTTAGGATTGTGTGATCAGTTTTGTTTCTGTGCAAAATGTATGTGGATGATGCTCTGAATTTCCTGTTCCCCATGTTTAAAGGAGAGGCCAAGTGATCTTATGGTGGGGAGTAGTGTTTAAATCATTATGATGCACAGGACACTCTGTGAACTGAAACATGCTTGTCTTTCCTTCTTGTTTCCAACTCAGACCAGAGACTTCTACACCATCCTTTCCTAACCTGTTGCTCTCCAGATGTTTTGAACAAAAACACCCAGAATTGGATGAGTGGGGCTGGTAGGAATTGAAGCCCAAAATATCTGGAGCAAGCAAAGTTGTTTGATGGTATGGCTCCTTCTTAGGCCATGCTGGTATGTGAAACTTTACATACTCCTTGTGCCGGAATGTAGAGGATCAGGAGAATCCAGGTTTTGTAATGAGCAATCTATGGCAATTTTTCAGGAGCCTGTGGAACTGACCAAATCTGCCTGGAGATTAGCTTCTTCATACAAGAAAATGCATGCTTCTGCTGTACTATCTGTTATCACTATCCTTTCTCTTTTAACTGATTAAGTGTAGGAGCTTGCTCTTGATTTCCCCCTTATCCTTTCCAATAAGATCTGGCAATTCATTATCTTTGCAAGTTAAAAAAAGGAGCTACAGTACAGCCAGTTGTCTTAAGTCAGTGCAAGAGGTAGCTTATATTAAACATGGTATGCCTAATTTAGCTCTGGAGTCTCTTGGCCTACAGATAATTTCTAATTTTAATAATAATTGAACTTGTGGTATTATAGTCATTCTGTGAAAGGTGAACTATTGCAGATTGGCACAGGGTATTGCTTTATGTGGGTGGGCAGCTGTGGAAGGCACAAGATCACACCGATTTCTCCTTTCTAAACTAGCAATGATGAGAATTCCTTTCAGTTTTGGCAAAGGGTATTTTGGACCCCCAAAACATGTCCTGGGAAACTTTGGAAGCAGCAGTAAAATAGGAAGATGGATTATGGTATCAGTTGACTCAATAAAAGAAACCACAGCCTTGTCTTGACGGGACATGTTAATGATAGGTCCTTTTGGAGGTCATTAATTCTTAGGTTCACCCCATGTTAAGGGCCTAACAAAACATGTGTCATCATAAGAATCATTTAATTGGATAATCACATCCCCTGGAGGCTTCTGGAGACATGATTGTCATTATTCCTTAAAAGAGAATACAGTGGTGCCCCGCATGACTATGATAATCCGTTCCATAGAAATCGCTGTTTAGCGAAATCATCGTCATGCGAAATCCGTTTCCCCACTGGAATGCATTGAAACCCGTTTAATGCGTTCCAATGGGGAAAATACCGTTGTCCTGTGATGATCATCCATAGGGAAGCCATTTCGCGAGCGCCGATCAGCTGTTAAAATGGCTGTCCTGCGAAGCATGGGTCCCGAAATACAGGGAAGCCATTTTGTGGAGCCACTGATCAGCTGTAAAAATCATTGTCTTGCGAACAAACGGTCCATGAAGCACGGACCAAATCATCGTCCAGCGGAAATCGCCCATTGGAACGACTGTTTTGCAAATCCCTATAGTGATCACAAAACCTCATCGTCATGCGGATTTGTTGTTTTACAAGGTCATCTAGCGAGGTACCACTGTACTTTTTAGTCTCTGGAGATTTCAGGCATGATGGGGAGCCATATTATTCCTACTTGTGCTCAAATGAGAATAAATGAGTTTGGAGAAGTTTAGTTGTTGTTGTTTTAAATTTGAACACCCAGCTTCTTCCAACCACCATCTAGTAATTGTGCAAGCTGTGAGATTCTGGGTGTTGCAGTTCAAAATTCTATCGTTTTTACATACGGTATTGAAAACCCAAGTACAACCATAGCCCCTGTATCGTGGTTCTTGGCATTAACTCCTAGATAATCAAATGAATAGCATCCTAATTAGTAATTAGCCAAGGAGAGATTGTCCAATAAGAGCACAGAATATATAGAGAGTATATATAGAGTATATCGTGTGTGTGTGTATATATATGTATATATGTGTATATGTATATATGTGTATACACACACACACACACATAGACACACACAAACACATTTTGTTTGTTCCAAGTATCTGGAGTTGGTTAGTAGCACTTTGTTGACCAGAGTGTTGGTAATCAGCTATAGAAAAAGATATTCTGGAGAGATGACATTACGTTTAATGACACCTACATTTTTTTTCCAAATGCATTAATTTGTTCTGCCAACCAGAAGGATGAAACTATTGTTGCTCTGATTTCTCCTAAGATGCCTTTTATCCGAAGGAGACCCAAACAGGGTTATATTCAGAGGAGATGTAAATTCCCACAAACAGTTGAAAACCAAATTTAGCATTTGCTTAAGTACTTGTGCCACTGTGTCTTTGTGAATTATACTGTGCCTGCTGTTTCCTTTATTATTATTTTCTTTTGTACGGAACTTGGTTTAGATGTTTGATAGCTGAAAGTTGTGTTTAGTGCACTCAAAATGGGAATGCAGGAGCAACCTCTGGAACAATCTACAAAGATTTGAACTTGTTTATGTGCTTGGCTGAGTGCTTGCAAGAACGCGAATCTTTTTCAAGCACGTCATTCGTGATTTTACAAAAGGTTGGCTTTAGCTTTCTTTTCTCCTGCATGTCAAGAGCCCAGAAACTTTACCTGAGGAAAGTAATACCACAATGTGAAAAGTTTTTTTTTATTTTATGGAGTACAACTCCCAAAATCCTTTAACTAGTGTTTACGTTACTGAGGAAAATGCTGGGAGTGATAGTCTGAGAAAGCAACTTTTCAAGCACTGGTTCTAAATGTCAGCATGTCTTTCCGTGCTAGGGATGGGCCTAGGAGTGCAAAACCCAGAATTTCTCATAAAAACACACATGAATTATATCATCCTCTCAGGTCTGTTGTTGGGGTTTATAGTCCCTCGCAGGAATTGATGTTCCATTTAGAGATGTGCTCTTTTGTATTTTTCAGAATCCCCAAGAAATCCCCAGGCAGAATTCTAAGAGTTGTAGCCCATAAATACACATCTATGGACTTTTAGATTCTACTTCTTCATGCACTGAGAAGGACTTTCAGGTTATTTACTTCTGATGCTGCCATGCTCCCACCATCCCAAAAGAAAGCTGCAGCAGTGTTTCCTGGGAGTAGAGGTTAATCAGGAGATGTCCTCTATAGAGCTTGATGGACAGTGAGATTATGGCTCCCAACATTCTCTGGGCCCAGGAGGGCCTGGACTCTGATAGCTGGTCAGCCTCCTGCCATGTGGTCAACCAGTGTTGTCTCTTCCTGTTTATGTGACAGAAAGCAAGGAAGACTAACCCTAAACCAGGGTGGGCAAAATACAGCCCTGCAGATGTTGGAGTGCAACTTTCAGTATTCACCATTGGCTGTGGCTGGCTAGGTCTGCAGGGAGTTTTAGCCCAACAACCTCCTGAAGGCCATACTTTGCTCATTCTTGATCGAAACTGTGATCTGAACATGGTGCTTTCTTGCATAAAGCAGATGGTACAATTTTGATTCAGTATAATCTTAGAACTACAGAGCTGGAAGGGCCCCTATGGAACATCAAGTCCAGCCCCTATCAAGGAGGCATCCTAGGGTATTGAATTCTTAACCTCTGGCTCCTTATAAAATATCTAAATTCAGTGAGCTATCTGGCTGTTCTAACAAAGTAATACTGAGAAAATCCACAGCTGATGCACAGCGTGCTGACTTTACATAACCTACCATACTGAAGTCAAGCTCCATTTCTGTTGTATTGCTAATCACAGGCATTTTTCTCTATCTTTGCAGAAATTATACAGAATCATTGACTCGTTTGTCCTTGCTGACAATGTTATTACAGGTCTTGTTCTGTAGATTGGGGACCTGACATTTATAAACAGTGGGAGATTCCTATCATATATCTGTTTTGACAGGATTGCTTTCTTTGGCACAAAGCACAAGGTTTGTACAGAGAGAGAGAGACTAGAGACAGGTGTTTAACTTAAATGGCTCTGTTTGCCTTAGTATCTCTCAAAATGTAGACCTTCATTTTATCTTGTGCTGAGTGTCACACTCATGATTCTTAATTTTAAATCTTTTCTCCCTTTCTATGGCGCTCCTTATTTGAAGGTGGCTAGTTTATTGTTGTCATGGTTATGAGACTTGCTTTGACTGTATTTAATAGCTTCCCCTTGTAGTAGTAAAAAATTAAACACTTATTTGCTTACACAGGAGATCCATGTATTTAATGGAAAAAGTTGCTATCTGTTACATGTCTTGCTAAAATGGAATTTGATTTTTGGGGGCCCAAGTAGAGAAAGCCAGTGTGAGGTTGGTGATGGGTGGGGAGAAGTTCAAATTCTTCATTGTCATAAAGGGAATTGCAATACCTGACCCAATTTATCCTTGAATGGGCTATTGTGTGATGAACTGCAGCATTTCTGGGAATGGGGATAGTTGGATGCTGGTATGTAGCATCCAACACCTTGAACTCCCTGGAGGAAGGACAAGTAGGATAAATAAAAGGTACAATTTGATAACCACATTTCCATTAAGAAAACATTGTCACTTGAGTTGTAGGCATAAACTTAACGATACTTAGAGCCAAAGTGAGGAATCCTGTGCCTTCTGTGAGTTGGTGGGGAAGGTCAGTATTTTGACAGTATCTGGATGGTCATAACAACTTCACACCTGACTTTGCTGGACTGGATGAATTTGCTTCTGTCCAGAGGCAATTACTGCATTCTATAACAAAATAATGCCGTATCCCCATCATAAACCATTGAGAGGAAAAGATGATGATGTAGATAGCTCTGTTAATCTGTTTTGTAACAAAAGAGAAATAGTCATGTAGCACCTGTAAGGATTTATTTTTCAGAAGCACAGATCTACAAATGAATGGTTGTGTCCCAA